CACGACAGCCGCAGTGTTGGTCTATTACAGCTTTGACTATTGGCAGAAGTTGAGATTACATAGTATAAGTTGTTTTAATGAAAATGAACAGAGTTGGTTTGAGCCCGACAGGTTGTCCTGTTGCCAATTCCTTTTCTCTTATCAACCAAGAAAAACTGAGGGAAAATTTATTTTAAACTCAATTGCCATGAATTTTTAAAGTACCTGTCGAATTTTTAAGAGGAAAATAGAATGTTGACAGGAGCACACCCTGTAACTGGTTCTATTTGAGCTGGTCAATATAGATGGCACGTCCAAAGCTAATGCAAACTACTTTAGTGGATGTCTGCTTCAGTTAAGCCCCACCAAGATTATGTTGAGGGCGTTTTGTATTTGACTATTTGTTTCTTGTTATTTAACCAATATCAAATTAGTTTAATGAAATGGAACGATCTATGAACTATGTTGTTTACTCTAGTTGAGCAAAGATCAAACCAACTATAAAATGTATTCTGAAATAAAATAGAACGTGCAGTAGACAACAAGGTGCTCAAACAAACGACAAAAAACATGAAACGGACATAAAACAGATGTTAAAATAGGGCGAGAAGTCCTCTAGCACTATCCTAGTTAAACATACTCCTTTGGAGAATCGAAGTCAATGCTTCGTCGCAACCGCGTTACATTGCTTTGGTAAACAACACAAACATGATCGCTAACCAAAGACCGTGAAATATTGCTGACAAACTAGAAAGCAAGCTGTGAGAGTCGGTCATTGAAATTCAAGAGGGAGTTTGTAGCAAACAAAGAGGCTGTTTAAAGAGAACTACCAGCTTTCAGCGTCCAAAGCACTTGACTAACCGGCCGGAGATTGGTCAAATAGAGAGGTTTTTGTCTCCTGTCAGTGACAAGTGCTACTTTCCTCATTAGCTCCAGGAATATATTTAACATTGTTGTCTAAATTGACCACTCCAGCAAAAAGAGAAGGAAATGGTCAGTAATAAATTGCAGAAATGTTGTTAGATTTTTCTATGTTTTTCCAAATTCTTTTTATTATTTTGTATGCCTATATTTTTTCTACTCCTCTGGCTTTAATAATGATTTTTGCAATAAACTTATTAAACCCTTGTCTAGTTACTAACACCACCCTGTTTCCGGTTGCATCAATTATTAATAGCCAAATAAATGGTGAATTGCATCAGGCTTCATAATTGATAACGTTCGCAATCAACCCAGTGACCTCCAGAATTGAGGTTGTGTTTACCTCCGTTTATGCGTGCCTAAGGACTCTTTCATCCACTCAGATTTCGATCTTGTCGGGAAAGTATTCATTGTGCAGTATAATGCTGTAATTAATGTAGGTGTACGTATATCTTTTTTTGATATAAGATCTTCAATGTTTTTAAGGTGAGCTTATAGGAACCCAGACAACTTCGAAGGCTAAAACATGATTGCAATACATTTCCTATTTTGGAATTATAATTTAAACTTGTAGCCTACCATTTATTTTTTCCCGACCCAAACTCTAAGGACCACAAACTTATGAGATTTTAAACCTGGCTGTCCAATATTAAAACTGTACGAAGATAAGCCTAAAATCCGGCGATAGCACAGTTAAGTTTCAAGAACCTTGTGGGGCCTTTTAGGGTTGATGCTTGAAACGGTATGGATCTGTGAAGTATATGTTGTAATAACAAATAGGAAATCCACGTACAAGATGATCCGAGTTGGGATCAAAGTATACCAACACCATCAATCTGAATTAGAAGTATGTTAAACTACACGATTTTTCTTCTCTTTTGTCGAAAACAGCCACCTTAGTCGCATCACACTCAAACGTCACGAACTAAAGAAGAAGAAATAGCTATTTACCCTATTAAATAACACAAAATAAAAAGCATCTTGTAACCCTCCTCAAACGCCACGAGGGAAGAAGAATCTCATCATCATCCCTCTATAACATTACGGCCTTTTAGACAGACTTCCAGTAACCATCTCAGGGTAGTAACTGGACGTCACTTCTTCAGCCTCATCCCTCAAGGACAGACCTCGGCTACTGAGGTCAACGATCTACCGTATCCAGGGAGTCAGGAGCGTCCTCGGTTACGTTCTTGCTTTTCACTTTCTTTCGTTGCATGATCGCCGTCACTTTCCAGCCTCAGTCCGTGATAGGCCGTCGCGCCGAGTGTAGCCTACAATACGCTTATCTGTTAACACTACTTATTAAAATAGGTAAATATTTTATCACGTGGAAATAATTTACGCTTTAAAATTTGTATTGTTATTTTTGTAGAGTAAAATATAATTTACAGTAGTGCAGTAAGTTGTAAGGGTAGATTAAGTTGATAGGCCGTCACGCCGGGCGTACAATACGATATTTTTGTGAGAGCTTATTGAAATAGGTAAATATTTGTTGAACTGTAGTTGTATTTGAAAATAGTTAATATTTACGTGAAATTACGAACATTATGAGATTTTTAGTTTTAAACTAAGTAGGATATTGCAAAAAAATTCAAACACAGTAGACTTGTACGAATTTTGGCATAAGTTATATAAGTTATATAAGTCAGATAAGTGATTTTTCTAGACACAAAAGTTGATTTATATTACTGCAAAAGAGGTTTATTTTACTTTACAAAATAGTTTTCGGGTTTGTATATTAAATTATAATTCACGAATCGCAAAGCTATTCATATATATTTTCTTTAATTTACCATCAAATTAGTAATTATTTAAACTAGTTATATGATTAAAGTAATTTTAAAAGTAATTCCTAAAAAAATATTTTCCCAGTAGAATTAGTTGCACCTTAATACAGAACATTAAATTTTTTATGTCGATTAAAAACATTTTCCTAAAATACAAAATACTCCCTACTTTAGAATAGTACTTTATGTAGCAAAAAAAATGGTTTAAGTTTAGTTTTCCAGGGTTGACTGTTGGTTACAACTACCTTTCTAATTTCTAATTAAAAAAGAGGATTTGAATAAGTAATAATATTATTAACATTTTGGGATAAACCTTTGATTGGAGTCTTTAGTTTTAACTACTTGGAAATCATTGAAGCGTTCGAAATTGAACTTGGAAAGTATTTTAGGTTTAATGAGCCAGCAGTTTTAAATCTATTACATTGGTTGTCACAGTAAACCCCCATCAATCCACTCAACATTCCTCAACAGAAAGTTTGGTAACATTTCGGACAAATGCACGACCTTTTTCTATAAATGTAGTTTTACAGTATAATAAACTCAATTTAGTAAACAAGAGATAAAAAAATTCAATGTGGTAATGTGGAAAAAAGGCAGATAGCTGCCTTTCTCCATTTTAGGTGTATTTTGTTTTATTCCGGACAATAATAATTAGTCCGGATTATTGAGGGTTTACTGTACATTGGTATAGTTTTTTACACACATTATTATTCCTAAGATGAACAGTGATATAATACATACCATTTCAACTTTAAATGATTAGTAATGCATTTAAAATACGGATAAAATTGGATTATTAACCAGAAAAAAGACTGTATGCAAATTTTGAAATTTGTACAGCATTTCACCAACCAATATCTTGGTCTTTAAGATTAACGATGCTAATGGGGTAGAAAAAAGCTAAGCTAGTCAGGTTTGTCCCATTTTACAACTAAGAATCGTAATATTTCAGCTGTTTCTTATTCGATCTTTTTGAACTTGGTATCGTTTGATAGGGAATTAAAAATTCCAAATAAAAGTGTTCCTGGAAATTTTTCATAAAATCAGCCATTTTTTAGTCATTTCGAAATTGTATGATGAATCGAGATGATTTTTTTATAACTTGGGTCTCTATTACAAAATACATTCCAAGTTTCATAATGATCGGTTGAAAAACTTTTAAGATAAAAATGTTAATGTGAAAAAAACAAAATGGTGAATATCTGGCTAACGAAGCGATTTTGGAAAACATGTTATTTTTTATTTTCTCTTTTTTTACCTATAGAACCATCTATAGCATTTCCCGGAGTTTGGCTGTTTACTTACGGGACACCCTGTATAATACGTGAAAGTGATTTATACGAAACCCTACTCCTCCGTTAATAATGTACGGATTTTTACAAACGATGTGTCAAAATTAAGTATTTTTTGTGTAGACACCCCCTTTCTGTAATAAAAATCCTTGGGCTTTGCCCTACAGGCCATCAAAATCCCAATGTATATCTTATGAAGAAAATATTTAGTTTACTTAAACTGACAAATAATTTGTATTAATTGCATACTAAAACAGCTGTTCATATTTAACACATGATACACACAAGAGCGTTCTTTTTCAGAGTTGATTGATGACATTATCTTTAAGTTGACTCTTTTAAGTCATCGGAAATTATGGCTGTTATTCGTTTTGAAATAACGTCCCCAATACTTTGCAATTGCTTGAATTCGAGCAACAGGTGCACTAGTTTTCTTATAATGTATGATAGGCTTTTGATATATGGTACTAACAAATCAGCTGATCTGATAAGTAACAAGGGTATACAGTACGTGTACAGATAATCATTTCCAGCTTATCCAGCTTTAAATATGCACCTAGGTGTTCGTCCTTGGTGGAACGAAAACATAGGTGTGCTATTTCCGTCATATGCTGACCGTCGGGTGACATATTGTTTAAAATATCGGTATATTGCAAGCAAAAATCACCTGATTGTATTGCCATAAGTAGGCCTATATTTGTTTTTATTTGATTGTTATAGTTTTTTTCTAAATGATTAAAAAATAATGTTTGCAATCTGGGTGACGGTCAGCATATGATGGGAATAGAATAGCACACCTATGTTTTTCCTTCCACCATGGTGTTTGTCGATATTTGGATTGGTTGATTGATTGTTTGGCTTTACCACCTGTAGGGCGCAAAACTAACTGGTTGGAGTTGGAATTTTGTGTGACTTAAATTCAAGCTGTATTCATATTCATCTTAAACCATGCACCTTTCTGTGCATATCTGTCATAAAATAATTATATTTATGGTAAATTTGTTTTTTGTTTCAGGCCCGCTGGTTGTCCACGCAAGATCGTGCAGGAATGGTATAGCGGCCGTCACAATGAAGTCTGTTTTAGTTTCGTTGTTGATTCTCGCGTCTCGGGTGATCTCCTCGCCTCCGCCCTCCGGGGTGAACGTGACCGACGACGTCGAGCTGGCCGGGGACTCTGAGGAGGTGACGGTCCACTACGACCTGGAGGACCTTAGGACCACAGTGTCCGAGAGACGCGCACTGGACCTCACACCTCCCGCGAACGCCAACGCGTACAATGACGACCCTATCCTGAAGAGATTCGGAAGCGACTACTTCCTCAACGAACAACACAACGAGACCGTCCCTGTGTCGACAAACGCTCCTGGCGTGATTCAAAAAGTTTCTAGAAAAACCGCGGTCGAGGATAAACAGTTCCAAGATAGACAGGATTTCGTACCCGATCGTGAGGTCAATCCGAACATTAGTGGAGTGAACTGGCTGCTCAACATATTCAATCCCCATCACTGGAACCCGGTGTCGCTCCCCGGCAGTGAGAACATATCCGACGGGTGTACGAGAGATGTGAGAACCTACTTGAGGGCGCTGAGGAACGGCACCATCTGGGCGGCAAAGAGTAAGTTCACTACTGTATTTATAAATTATTAATATTATAAGCTGGAAGCTTTGTTTAAATATCTGAAATAGAAGTGGTGTTAATGTTCGCGGGTTTCATTCGCCTCACAAAGCGACTTTGTACTGTTAACGTGTCAACTCGTTTTTTGTTAATTGAATCTGTTTTATTTTTTTCATTCGGATGAAAAATTTGATTGATAATAGTAGGGAGAGATGCAGAGTTTCATGAGGGGAGCATGGAGGGAGTATGGAGGGAGTATGGAGGGAGTCTGGAGGGAGTCTGGAGTTGAGTGAGAGTGAGAAAGTGAAAGCGAATTATAATTAATCTGACGTTTGAAGTTAGTCTATGAATTTTGTTTCGGTAAAGTGAACGCTAAAACAATCTTGCAAAAGATTCCAGTTTTCATTGAGTAAAAAGTAAACACTGAACATGGACATAGTTTGATTTTTTATTTTGTATGTTTGTAATATTAGTTTGAATATAAATCATTAATGGCTGTAGTGAGTGCACCAATAGACTGTCCATAACCAGCTGGACAATGATTTTTTTTTAATAGTATACATTTTGTTTTTGTTCACTCTAAGTTGCTATAGTTTCCAAATAAGTTCATTCCTGGGTTTTATAATTCATACACTTGTGTTTTTCGTCATGCTTATTTAATTTTATTCTCTGTCAGTTTCTTGAATCGTTTTATTATAAAAGTAACAAAAATGGTTAAAGAAGAACCTACTTCTTCAATTACCAAGGGTTAAAATAATATCACCTCAATGAGTTCAATTTTGATTTATTAAAATAATATTTTCTATATGTTCACTCTTACTTAAAAATATATCACCAAAATTATTTATGCAACCAAAATATCGCATGATGTAAAAAAAACCTAATGGGTTTGAAAAAAGTACTACAGTGTGTGTTATTATGAGATTAATTTACACCCTATCATATAGGAAGATAAGAGTTTATCAAGCTTTGATACAAATGTATAAAGTGTTATTAATATTTAAACAATTCACATCAAAAGGTAAAGTTCGACAAATACTGTTTATCTTGAAACGCACATATTATTGTTTTACCGGCTCAAGGACAAAAATTTTGTACTAAATGTAACATAAAACAATATTACTTGGAACAGAGCAATGTTTTTGAGTTTATTAATTTGTTTATTCAACAATATTATCAAAAGTGCATGGTTTAAACAAACCTATAATGTCTCAGTCCTTATGTGTACTACTAAACATCGGAATCAAGCAAGCATTTACTGTCATTTTGCTGCTCTACATGAGGTTTATGTGTTTAATATTTGACTTAGAGTTACATTTTTGGTTTACATCTGTTTGAAAATAAATTATAATTTTTAAAATTAACTGCAAATATTACTAATTGAGAAGTTATAAAAACATAATTTTACATACCAGATTAGTTTTAAAAGTTTCAATCAAATGTTTTAAGTTACTAAGTGAACATTTTTCAATTTGTTGTCCTAATGTAATGTAAATAATCAAAAATATTCTTTTAAGTAAAATAATAAACCTAATTTTGGTAGAGTTTGTTACTGATTATTTAAAAATGTGTTATATGAACATGAATTTACTGTTAAAATATTATTTACAAATCTTTCACGTTGGTTTATTGTACTCAAAACCAATGAAAGAATTACACATATTGCTAATATTTGTTTACTACTAAGTAGACTATTTGAAACACTGAATGTATGTTTTGTAGACATACACAAAGTATTTAATAGTAAAGAACCCGCATCAACAGAAGAAGCAGCACTAAAATAAAAATGGTCAGGTAATATCTATAGTGACTGAAATGTTACCCTTTAAATGAGCAACGTTAGTAAAAATTTACTCAATATTGTAAGGAAAATGGAATAAAACAAAATAAAAAAACTTTTGAAACCATCGTAGAGTGTTTATTTTCAAGTTTAGACTGCACATATAAGTTTAAAGTTTTACATAGACTTTTAAGCACATAGACATTTGCTAAACAGAACAGACCTTTTTTCATATGTTATTTTGTACAATTTATCAATGCACCATCTAAACATTCTAAACTATTCATCGCTAAATACACAATAAATTCTGTATATTTGAAACATTCAAACTAAACAGTTTCAACTGTTGGGTTAGTATAATCTACAAGTGGAAAAACTGATTTATTACAATGCATGACACTGATACATTTGACTTATCTGGTACATGAAACATAATATTATACCTACACCTGGTACAAGGTTTTAAACTAGTTACAAAATCATTCAACCTGTGCGGTTAAAATTGTAAACAGAACTAAAATATGAAGTAACATTTTTGTTTCTATGATAGGCTCACTAACTTACTTATACAATAAATCAGCATCTTAAAAAAAATAGACCAAACTATTTACATCATTTTAAGTTCATTAAATAGTTAGCATACAGTAAAACAATTTCTAAACGTGTTAAACGTATAAAGTATAAAGTGTCTGCACTATAATGTTGCTGAAAAGCTGTTATTTTCTTTATGTTATCGCATAGTATAATTCTTTGTTATCTAAAACAATAGGTAAACAAGTTTCATACACAATGAAATTTAGAGATCAAACTCTAGTAAGTTGTTTTACCTAACAATTGAAATTCATTATTGGTGTTGTAAATAATTTGTTAAAGATTCACTAAAATACAAAACGCAACAAAATGATCGACTATAAAATAAAGTTAAAATTGTATTTATAATAAAAAAAAGTTCAACAATTAGTACAGTAAAAAATTATGTAAATGATTAAAATAAAAACCTGTTAATTTACAAACATTTAACATGATTAAAATTGTCATTAATATCCAGAATAGTATTTTATTTGGATACACTATTTTTTTACTTACACATGTTCTATCTAAAAGTTAATCAATTTGACCCTAGCTATTTAGCACACTATTTTTTATAGTTGTTTGTCATTAAATTTAGCGCATCAAATATAGTTATTCAAAGTTGTAACAATTGTAAAACCACATTTTTACATCGTGAGAATTTTTTTTGAAAATGTATGAGTTGAAAATGTACAACATAATATAATATAAGTAATAATACCTCAATTATTTAAGTATATAAACATTTTTCAACCCTTAAGCTCTTAAATAATGAGTAAAACACTTAATAATTAACGATTGCTGACTGTTAAACATTACTGTATTTTATGGTGCCCATACGGAAGAGTATTTACACCGTCTGCACAAAGGTGACGTTTGAAGTCATAACCACTCAGTGTCAATTTATTCTCCCACTTTGTCTTGACGTCGTGTCTGTATGACCGGAAAGTTGTGTTCATAGTATACCAGTCCTCATTTTCCATTATACATCGGCGGTAGTCTTCGGCACGAAGGATTTTTGATACTACTGGCTTGGTGATTCCTTTGCATTTCTTTATAGGATCTTGTACTTCATCTTCTTTTACGACGCAATATACTTTAGTCCTAACACCCAAGAACTCTTGAATATATGTCCCGTTAAGTTCATCTTTAAACTTTCCTAATACTTTTGCATTGTCAGGTTGGTATGCTGGGTTGTTTTTTGGTAAACTACTAGTGTCGAGATGATAGACAATTGGCAAAAAACTCTCATACAAATCAGGAGTATATACTTCTATGACAAAACTGTCCGTGTCCATATATATGAGGCGTACGTTATCTTCTCCATAGTGTGGGACTATTACCTCGTAGTAGAATTTGTACATGAGTTCTTTGCTCAACTCAAGGATACACATCCCAACATAAAGAGGTTTCTCAAGAACTATGTTTTCTTTCGCTAGATTTATACCAACCATAGTTTCAGAAATAATTGTTCGGTGCAAGAAATTTGGTTTTGCAATGAGTTTTTCAGCCTTTCGTTCACTTGTTGTTAGTTTGTAGTTCAATCTCTTTCTTACGTTTTCCATTGTTTTTCCAAAAACCGAATTGTTGTACAGTTTGAAGAGATCCTTTTCAAAGTCATTTTTGGCAGTCTTCCGTAGGTTGGTGTTTAGATCTATGTATGGTTTGAGCCAGGGAGATTGGTCAAACCTTACTACTCTATGAATTTTGGTTACTTTCAGTCCATGTTTGAGTGCCTGTTTTAATATGCGATAGTGGGCGATGTAATTCTTCTTATTTTCTAACGTGGTTAGTAGTTTGGGGTGTTTTGAGCCAGGTGTGGATTTCCTTTCACAAAGGAATGGGAGATCTCTGTGCTGATCGTGAAGTGACTGTGGGTATTCTATGTCCACCTCAAGTACGTAACCCACATTGCTTTCATCTGACACAGTTTCTATGTTAAGGCAGTCAATTTCGTCCCTGTCTAACCATCTAAATCCCCCTGTTGGTAGGTATTGAGATTGAGCCCATCCATACAAGTTGTTTGCATCCACATAAGTTAAATATTTGGAGCGTTTTGAAGGGTCGTAGCCTGCACAATACCTATTATTAGCCACTGATCTTCGCTTCATGCACTGTGAAATGCCTCCACGTATGCCATTTTCAAAAAATAGGTAGATATCATGGTCCTGAATTGTTTCAAGTTTTATATTTGTGTTCTTCAGCATACAGTCCCATGAATATGAAGGCAGGGTGATGTAATAAGCAGGATCCAGCTGATGTGATTTTAGACTTGCATCTCGGAAATGTTCGAAGATGTCTGTAAGAAGGAGGACATCAGTAAGGAGGTACAGATCAGAATACTGGCCTAAATCTTTGATGTTGAAGGCTTTCCAGACATCTTCAGCGTGTTTATAATCCTGTTCAGAAATAGTCTCTAAAGTGAGTTTGTTGTAGAAGGCTTGTCTAGGTGGGAGTTGTGTTTCTTGAAGTTTCTCCACTGAGGAGATGTATGAATACGGAAAGACACCTTTGCGCGTGAGAAGTGTAAACTGAGTGGGATCTGGAAATCTGCGTTTAGTTTCTATGAAACATTCATGAGGAAGGTTGTCTGCTAGTTTAGAGAGGCTGGATGGGAGGAAGCGCAAGGTATCAACAAATCGAAGTTTAA